AACGCGTGGGGCTAAGTCTCTATGATGATACCAGTGAAGGAACTTGTTCGCACCATTGGCTTATCAAACGCGTGGGGCTTAGTCTCTATGATGATACCAGTGAAGGACACTTTAACAAGCCTACAGGCATATTGGGCATACAGGGCTAGACTTATATTTTATAGACCGATCGGCTCTCGGTGGAAGATGTGATCAGCATCATGCCATCCTCCTTTACTTTCCAGGACTATACCTGGTACCCATTTAAAGCTGGGTCGAGCTAAGAGCCAAGATCATTTTTGAGAGGGAAAAAAGTCTAGCACCATCCAGATATGAATCTAAGATCTTCAGATCCACAGGTGAGCATCTAGCCACTACATCATGGTGGTTCTCAATATACAATAATAATCACAGTTGGATTATGTCTCTGTCTTGCCTCACCACCAAGTGTAGAGTCTCAGCCAGATTCCCCGGTCAATCCCAACCACCCTGTTCTTTTCACATCTTAAAGGTCTGTTTGCACTTTCACACTAATCGCTTGCTCCCTGAGGACCTTGACCACATCCAGCTTGTCATGAATCAAGACACCATCCATTGATGGAGCACCGGTCTATCTGTTCATTTCCCAACATGCCTTTATGCCCTGGAGAAATTATCCAAAGGATACTTTTTTGTTTCTCACTACGCGGGGAACTCTGATGCCTGTCACTCTAAACAGAGCATGCCTTTCTCCATTGATTTGATTTGATTTGATTTGATTCAAGAACCCACATCACAGCACTCAGGGCATTCCCATAAGCGCTCCATCCCCATCTTCAGCAGCCAGCGAAGAGTTTCGATACTAATGGTGCCAGTAGCATTCAGATGCCTTTCTCCAGTGTGCATGCAAGCTGTGTGAGTCTATTACAATCACAGCATTTACTCTGTACAGCTGGTTCTTAAGCCAGCAAACAGCTGCTTTGTCTGCCCCTACCTACATTCTCATTGATTGTTTGAAAGAAGCTCATGAAAGTTTATCTCTGTGCACAACAATAAGAATGAGACAAACACTGTTCTTTGGCAGCATAATGAGTAGAGGGACATTGGAGAACATTGTGACAACTGAAAAGATCAGTGGGGTAGAGGCAGACCAAGAGAGATGATGCTGGATGGACTGAAATGAGGGCATGGAGGGATATCATCAAGAGAGCTGTTCCAGTCAACCAGGGATCGTGATCTGTGGAGATGCATGAGCGCCTAGACCAGTTGGCAGTTCATGTGATGATGATTAAACACATGGTACACGGTGTGATGTGCACAAGTGAAGACCTAAAAGTCCTTGCACAGCAACAAATCCTTCTTCCTTGGATATGGTACTGGAACAGTTTACACACTCACTAGAAAAGTCTGCGGTGCAATGTTATAGTTACCTGCTTGTCAGCTTGAAAGTATAGGGTTTACATCTACATCTAAACAAATCCTTCTTCATTAGACATGGTATTGGAACAGTTTACACACTTACTGGAAAATTCTGCTCTACAATGTTAGTAGGCACTTGCTTGCCAACCTGAAGGTGTAGGGTTTAAATCTGCATCAAAACAGGTTTTTTCTACAGAATTAACCTTGGCTTTCAGGTCGACCCAGATTAAAATGTGTAGCAGATAATGTCCTGGGAAGTAAATGCCATTTGTGCGATGTTGATCACGTCATCCGTTTAGTACCTGTTGGTGTATCATAAATTATTTTTTTTTTAAATGTCTGTCATCAGTACTGTCTGTATTTAACAGTTTAATTGTGAGGGTGGTTTGGGGGGAGGGGAATTGGAAGGTGCTGCAGCGGGTGCTGTGCCACAGACTGTGCAGGTTAGGATGTTTATTTTTGCTCCCGATAGCAAATCTCCATCACCTCTTTTGGGGATTGAACTCGAGTCTCCCATATGAGAGCCTGACACATAATAAATAATAGTCTTCTTCTTTGTGTTTGGTTTTGTATGCTCAGATCAGACCATCAGGTGGGTTGCCTCTATTAACTCGCATGTCAGTAGCAGGTCCTTCATGGTTCTCCATAGCTTGCTCTGCACACTTTGCTTTTGCCAGGTGTCTTTTAGAAGTTGTAGGTAGAGTTGGCAGGTCTGCAGAATGTGCTCAGGTGTTTGTGGTCCTGTTTGACAGGCAGAGTGTGGGAACTGAACAGTCTTTACTTTATGCATGTGGAAGTTGAGCCTGCAGTGTCCTGTTCTTAGACGGAAAATTGTTGTATATTGCTTTCTGTTGAGTCTGCTGATGGGGTCTTGTGGATGTTTACTGTTAGTTTGTTCTCTCCACAACTCCTTGTATTTTCCCTTGATAAGTGTTCTGATTTCTTGTAATGACAATGAATGAGTGTGTTGTTTCTCCTTTGTTCCATTTTTCGCAAGTCTGTCTGCTAACTCATTTCCTGGTATGCCTCAGAGAGCCGGAATCCACTGGAGAATGATTTAATTGTTTTCTGCAAGTCTGTTTAGCTGGTGCATCAGTTCTCTCTCCATGTTGTCTCATGGATCCCTCTATGTCACCTAGAGGACTGACATGCAGTCACAAAGAAAAACAATTTTTCTGTTTTTAATTTTTCTGTCCCTAATCACTTTGGCTGAATCAATAATTGCTTGCCGCTCTGCTCTGAAGTTTGTTGAGAGTCTCTTGAAGGCGCATGACGTTTCTACCATGGTCCCATCTTGCAGCATGATGACCAATCCAGATCCTCCATTTTTTCTGTTCCCTCCAGTGATCCATCGGTGTATACGTGTGTCCATTCGGGTTTTCGACAACAGTTGTAGACATGATTAAGGGTCTTTGCACGCAGTATCAGGTCACATTCTTTAGCCTTTCTGTCTATGACTGAATTGTTGTTGAGACTGTATAGTTAAGCTGTAGGTCTATGCTATATGCCTGGATCATTTTCCATGTTGAAGGATATTTAGAAAGGATGTCACTTGTTTTTGCGTAGTACAGTTTTGATAGATGGTGAAAGCTTTGTCTTTTCAGTCAGCTTTTAGTTAAGTTGTTTGCTATTCTGTGCATGGGGTTGTTGTTCATGTGATTACATTTTTTTGTTAGGGTAAGCACCTTTTCTTATCTTTGAAGGCTCAAGCTCTAGATGACCAGAAGTTGCTTCCAGCTCATAGATTGGCGTGCTTCTCATACCTCCAATGATGATTCTCAGATCAGTATTCTGTATTTTGTCCAGTTTGTGTAGGTTTGATTTTGCTGTAGTGGAATATGCTCCCATGCCATATTCTAGTTTTGGTCATACATATCCTGTGTATACTTGTACAGTGTTGGCATCTGCACCCCAGCCTGTTCCAATAAGTTTTTTCATAAGTCTGAGTTGCAGGGTAGCTTTCCTTTGGGTGTCTTCAATGCGGTGCTCAGGTTAGCTTTTTGTTGAATTTTACTCCCAGATATGTAGGGTTATCCTCTTTTGGAAGGATGTTGCCTCCTAGGTACAGATCAACATGTTCTAGCTTTTTGAAAAAAGAGAAGGAATAGTAAAGACAGTTTTTTCTGGTATATTGTGACTCCCCAAGAGTCTGCCCATTTGTTAACTGTATTTATAGCTTCCTGCATTCTTGTTTTAGTTGTTCCTATATGTTCAGCTTGGATCCATATGGCCAGGTCATCTACATGTAGGGCCTTGTGAATGTGAGTCATTAACTGTTTTGGAAGGTCATTGATGAAAAGAATAAACAGGGTAGGAGATACAACATCTCCCTGGGGGACACCTTCTTGTAACCTGACCAGCTTGCTCTTGCGTTCTTAATCTAACTCTTGCGCAGCATCTGTAAAGAAAGTCTTTAATCCAGGTTAACATATGCCCTTTTATAACACTGTGTTATAGTTTTAGCAAGAGTCCTTTCTTCCAGACCTTATCAAAGGCTTTGGTCAGGTCAAAGAAAATAATAGTCTAGAACATTATGCCTCATGTGCCAAAGATGTGAATAAAGTCCGTTACATTTTGTGTGTGTGTGAATTAAGTAGTATTATCAGAGTTACCAATACAAATATATTACACATTCTTAACTCTTTGAGTACCAGAAGGTTACACAAGAGACACTATAATGATGAAATATTCATGAATGCTTTACTTTCAAAGTGGCAATACACATATTTGTAGTGACCAGTAGGGAAAGCCAGATTTCTGTAGTGTGTTCTGACCAGATAGTAAGTGTAAGAGAGCACATTAGGCTATGGAGGGGATTGAAGAAGCAAATTCATTCATACATTGGGCGTTGCTTGAGACTGAAAAAGTTATTGCAGCTGAAGTGTGCATACATTATTATTATTATTTTATATATATATATATATATATATATATATAATACACTGTCTGTTTGTTTATATATATATATATATATATATATATATATATATATATATATATATATATATATATATATATATATATATATATATATATATATATATATATATATAAATATACAAACAGACAGTGTATTAATAGGAAATTATAGAAAGAAGTAGAAAGATAAAAGAACACACTAGACATCATAACAAGTTTTTATTTGTTTGTTTAGACTGTGCTTCTGTCTTTCTTTGTCCTTGTATGAGTGCTGATTAATACATTGTTTATCTGTGTTATTATATAAATAATATTTCTACAGCCTCAAGTGTTTCCCCCTGTGATTATTTATGTGAATACATTATTATTATTTGTGTGTGCGTGTGTGTTTGTGTGTGTGAGTGCTTGCATTTGTGTATATGTGTGTGTGTGGGAGGGGGGTGAGGGGGGGGGGGGTAAAGAGGGTGGGGCAGACTCCCCTTATGTCATTTGTTTTGTTGCCAGGTTGTGCCTGAATGTGTATATTTTACAGCAAATACAGGTTAGTATTATATATATATATATATATATATATATATATATATATATATATATATATAAAAAAAAACAATATATATATAGATATATATATATATATATATATATATATATATATATATATATATATATATATCTATATATATATTGTTTTTTTTATTCACCAGCTGCGTAATCAAGCACAGGGTGAACTGAGAGCTTTGAGAGCTGAGCTGACTCAGAGAAAGCAGAGTATTGAGCTAAACCGTCAACACCAGCTAGCGGCCTTAAATAACTTCCAAAACAGTGGCAATGAGAATAACTCATCTTCAGAAAACCTAGTTACACACCCTGAACACGGGAAACCTTATTATGAAGGGTTATGACTACATGCCAGAACAGTGTTGACAGTGAGCTCAAGCATTCATTGATTTTTCTTGTATCTACCAAGACCTCAGAAACATAATTTTATGTATTTGTTCATTATTTAAAATCATCTTCTTGAAATCCAAGCCATGTGGCATTGGTAGTCGTGTCTATCCACAACCTTCTGTCTCATTTGCTTTCAGTCAGTTATGATGGGGATGATCTTCCATTCATGATGTCAAACTATCCAGCATCTTCTCTTTTAGTCTCCATCTGCCTCTCTTCCCCTCCAGCTTTCCCACTGTCACTGTGTACTCCAATTTTCTCATAACATGGCCAAAAGGATGTAAATAGTCTCCTTCTGATGTGGACAATCAGTTCTCTTCATGAGCCAGTTTCTTTCAAGTCAGTTTTATTACATTTACGTCTCCCAAAATGGGTGCTACTGTCTCTATGTGTGGAAAAAAAGGGGATGGAGAATATGTTGTGAAACAGATAAATTCACCGTAATTACTTAATCTTCAGAATAAACAAAGAAGTTTTAATTATTACCAGTCATGTCAGTCTTTCTCATTAACATTGATTTAAATGTTATTCTTGGTTTTTAGTATGGACTTTCCCCATGCTTGACAACATTCATCATTCATGAGGGGGGGGGGGGGAACAAGAGTACTGACCTGGTCCACAATACTGCTGATCATGTGCTATGATGATTCATTAGCATCTGTGTTCATTTTCATGGCACAAGACTGTGATTATATTTCTAGGAGAGAAGGTGGTGATTTGTTTCTTTATATGGAAAATGGGATGGTGGGCAAGAATAGTTTGGGAAACACTCATTTAAATCACTTACATTATGAAACACTCATTCAAATCACTATCATTATGAAACACTCATTTATATCACTTAAATTATGAAACACTCATTTAAATCACTTAAATTATGAAACACTCATTTAAATCACTATCATCATGTAATACTTATTCAAATCACTATCATCATCTCAAGTATTGTCCTGGCCTACGCAGGCAATCTTTCTTCTCCACATTGTTTGTGACCTTCCAACGGGCATATATCGCTTTGTGTGCTGACACCTTTTCATGTCCTGACAACAGGCTGTCAAGAATATTCTCTTGTCTTCATAAATCTGTATATGTTATTGTTCCTAAATGCTAACCATAAATCATGAATGATTTGAAATCTCTGAGTGGGTTGTGGGAGCCCAGTTGTGGGAGCCCAGTTGTGGGAGCCCAGTTATGAAAGCCCAGTTGTGGAAGCCTAGTTGTGGGAGCCCTGTTGTGGGAGCCCAGTTGTAGGAGCCCAGTTGTGGGAGCCCAGTTGTGGAAGCCCAGTTGTGGGAGCCCAGTTGTGGGAGCCCAGTTGTGGGAGACCAGTTGTGGGAGTGACAGCGCTGGCAGGGTAAACTCACTGCACACCCTTACAAGCCTGTAGTAGAGGTTGACCAATTAGGAAAGTTTCCTTTCAGGTCAGAGTGTATCTGTCTGAGAGGTGAGGAACCAGCAGTCTGCTTACAAATAAGCTAGAAATGTAAAACAGATGTAAACCTAAAACTCACGTTCTGGAACAAGACTAAAGTCCAAAAGCTGACGAACAACCGGAACTTTCCACCTGAATTTACAACAGGTGAACTCAGACATGAAAAAAAAGAATAATTTAAAAGACTGTCATTAAATTAAATTAAATGCCAGTAAATTATTCGCTTTTGTATTGTTATTCACAGAGAAGTGACAAGTGGTTAGAACACTGGCGTCTCACGCAGTAGACCCAGGTTTCATTCACAGTAAGGGATGGAAATTTTGTGTCTGTCTGGGAAAAAGAAATGACAAATCCTAACCTAAATGTTCATGGTGACTGCATCTTGTTGAGTTAAGTTGAGTCAAGAATTGACATCACGGCACTCGGGGCATTTCCATTCATGCTCCATCCTCATCTTCAGCAGCCAGCACAAGGTTCCAATACTGATAGTACCGGCCACAAGCTGGTTATATGTGGTGACTGCACCCTGTGCCTATAAATCATCAGGCTCATGACCCTCTCATATTACAATGCCCCAACAGTGGTAAATACAGATCATGAAGACATTATTAGTTGCTGCAGTCTTGTGGTATGAAATAGCTATTGTATACCTGTAAGCTTGTCAGTTGTGTTGGTTTTTGAAATAAATTTATCTGTAAAATATAACAATTATGAACTATTGTAACCTTTAAATTGTGATGGTTCATGACAGTGGTCTCCAATCTGGGGTGTGTGAAAGAGTGCTAAGGAGTTCCCGGAGGGAAGGGGTGGGTGACGGGGGTCGTGCCTAAAGCAATTCTGAAAATGAGTTCATTTGTAATTGTTATAATCCATCATACTAACATTGTTTTTCAATTTAATCATTTAGAAAATCTTTTTTTAAAAAACTATCTATAAAACATGAGCAGTTTGTACATGTACTTTTAAAAATCTAATTAAAATGATGACATCTACATTTAATTAGTGATTAAGAATCCATTCCTCCTCCTTTTTGCTCCCATTTTGTTATGTGGGGAGGATGGGGGGGGGTCTTGCCATATACTCAAGGAGGGTGCCACCTGAAAACAAAAAAAGTTGGAGACCACTGGTTTGTGATATGTTTGGAAGTATCTTTGTTATTGTTATCATTGCTATTATAATTATTATACGGTTATTTTTTATTTTTTTTGCTGTGATGAACATTTTGTATATTTTAATATCACTAAAGATGGTGACTTTAATTTTATACTATTATTGAACCAGCTGTTTGTTTCCTAGCAGTGTTATTATTATTATTACAGGTATTTTAAGTTTTTTTACACATGAATTCCTTATAATGTATTGTTTTTTAGTTACAATTGTCTCCTACAACCAGTAACTGTAATATTGTGTTTTTACAGACTATAATGTTTAGTTATTATTTTTTACAATTTGTAAAACTGTGTTGCGTGTGCCTTCAGTACAGTCAAGATAATTTTTAAAGGATAGAGGTGAGAAAATGTACCAACTATGCAATGTTGTAGTTATGTTAATGAGTTCATCTTCATTATCATCATCCACTTTACAAAGTGTTATTTAAAGTTGACTGTAATATCCCTTCAGTAGCATCTTTCTTTTCTTACAGCTCACTCAGAAAGCCATTTTCCAGTCTGTGTTTTTATTGTGTCCAGCTACATGTCAGATAAACTCATACACAGATGAAACACATTGATTATTGTAACTACTGTCTGTGGTTGACAGAAGTGTAAACAAATATACTATAAATGCTGGGTTCCCCCAGCATAAAATATTTAGAGAGAGAAAACGCTGTCAGTACTTTGCAGCAATGTGAAAGAAAAAAAAACTCTCATCTCTAATTTATTATTATATGTAATTTATTACTCTCAGTTTGTGTTATAATCACAAGTTGAAAAATTCTCTACTTGAATTTTAAGAATCCTTGTGACATATTTTTTTCTGTTATATTATTTATTGGCAGCAGCTTTCAGGCAGTACTGAATATTTTGATTTATAACACACTTAATTTTAATGTTAATATTTATAATGTTTTGAAAAATCCATATTCTCCTCCTCTTTCTCCCCACCCCTTCCCCGTTCAGTTATTTATGAACTGCATTACCTAAGGGAAATCACAGATCTCTAGAGGCTAGCAAGCACACTTGTGGTCAAAGGTTTTAATCTTCAATAAAACAGTGATTATGGAAACAGTAAGCTGTGTGGGTTCTTTATGGGCCCCATTTTTGTAGAAAAAAGAATAGACCCACGGCCCCAACAAAGATGTCATACAAGACGACTAATTAGGAGTTGGCTGAAACTGGATATGTTGAGCAGATATCGTAGCCTAGCTGTTAACCACAACATGTCAACTGCTGTTTTAACACTTTCACCTCAAGAACCTGCAAAAAACTGACACATTTGGCGCATTCTCAGTTAACTCTTTGAGTCCCAAGGAACGCATTATACGTTCATAGGTTTCTACCTAGAAGCCCAATGAACGTATGATGCGCCGATTTTATGTCTCTCTTCACTACTCTATGGGCCTGTGATGCTAAACCCCCTGGGACTCAAAGTGTTAATGTTGCTTTTAAGACTGGTCTATAATGATGTGTTTACAGAAGGGATATTTAAGCCACTGGCTGTTTTCCCACCTGCACAAACATTTGGGAGGTCATGATGTAACTACATTAACTAAAAACTGCATTTAAGGGGTTTGACCTTTGAGCAGAGTAGCCTTTTTAAAGCCAGAATTGCATTACATTTTCCCCGTAGCCTCAGTGATGTAGATCGCAAGATCATGACATGAGTCACCCAATACACATGTTTTTTCAGACACCCTGGAAATGTATTCCATTTATTGCTTCACTCTGTTTGTGTTTATTGGTTACTACCTTCATATATGTATATGTATTTAAAAATCAAAATTAAAACACTGAGATAATATTTTTAAGGAATTTATTAGTGACCTGTGTAAAATGTTTAATTCTTCTTCTTCTTCTTTGCGTTCACCAGCTATAAACTCCGGCGGAAAGCTATGGTTGTTCATCCACTTTAGGACTGCAGTCCTGTTCCAGAACCTGAGTGTTACGTTTGTTTCCGTTTTATTACAGATTTGACTCATTTATATGCAGACTGCTGGTTCCTTGCCTCTCAGGCAGATGCACTCCGACTTCAAAGGAAGCTCCCAATTAGTCGACTCTTACGACATGCTTTTGGGTAGGCAGTGGGTCTATTCTTGTTTTCTCTACAATAGGGCCCCAAAATCTACATGGGGATTTCATTATTCTAGAAGTTTTTAAATGAAATTCCACGGGGTCATGGCCCACTTTTTTCTTTAATGTTACCGGGGTGAAAGGGCTAATAGTGAACACAGAAAAAGGAAAACATTGACCTATGCTCCCTGTCTGAAATGGAAACCAAAACACTTTCTGAAAGAAAGGTTGGCTTGTATGATTGGTTGGTGTGATAAGGACTTATAACCCATTAACTACTGATTGGTCTATAAAA